CAAGTCATACCTGGCTGATTGGTCATAGTTTACTGATCCCTGATGTAAAGGATGTAACCCAGCACCATACCTTGCATAGTAAAGGCTCAGTAAATATTAAAATAATTACTGTCATTATTAGTATTACTACTACATTTATTATAGTGACAGTTGAGTAATTTATACATGAAAGTAAATATGTTAAATTACTGACCTTCAAAATTTTTTAAATTTAAGCTTAGCGATAATTTTTTAGATAACTTTTTATTCTGGGAGATTGATATTGTAAGATATTTAGCAGCATCACTCGCCCCACCACCACCACAATGCCACGAACAAAAATGTATGCAGGCTTTACCAAATGTCCTCTGGTTGAGAAGAAGATAAAATTGCCTCCAATTAAGACCACTGTTGTAGAGAACTACTTACTCTAAAATCTTCAATTAAGGGTAAGAGCTGTGCCTTTTATGGATTTAGAGAGTGCAAATTGTAGAAATAGACCTAGTTTGGAATTCTAGATCTTCTGCTTCCCTGCTATGTAACGTTAGGAAAGTTACTTAACTACGCTAGTTTTACTCTTTTCTCATTAGTAAAATTAAGGATGATAATACCTCATGGGATTGTTAAATAACAGTCTTTAATATTGTTATATCCAGCTTATGATAGCTAATATGGTACTTGTCATGTCATAAACACTCTTAAATTAGTTCAAACTTTCTAACTACCTACTAGCAATTTAATCAGATTTTCTAATATATTGCCAAAGGTCTTAGAGTACAAATTTTTATAAAAGTGTCTGTACAGATATTGTAATTTCTGTATCTTAACTTTTTCCAATAAGGAATATCTTGTACCAGAATTATCAAGTGAAGTACAATCTCTTTGGTTCAAAGCTGCTAACCTCTTTGAGTCCGGGGGGGCCAAAGTAATTGAAGTGTCCCTGCCCCACACCAGTTATTCAATTGTCTGCTACCAAGTATTGTGTACATCGGAAGTGGCTTCGAACATGGCAAGATTTGACGGGCTGGAATATGGTAAGATGACTGTACTGTGTTTTGGCTTTTTAAAGTAGTTGTCTCAAAGATTTGAAAGTTTCACTTATTAATGACAAAATTATTACCTAAGGTCATATTAATGGTTTAGAAAAGTAAATCAGTGAATCCTTTTACCTTTCTTATTTTAACATTATTCTTACACTATTCATCATAAATATCTCTGTAAAAACGGTTCATCTCTCTGGACAGTGAATACTTTGAAGGAACAGCATCTTATTTTGTATTCTCAGTCTACCTAATGGAGTGCTTAGCACATGATAGGAGCTCAGTAAACATTTGAATAAATGAATGAATGAATGAATGAGAGAATGAACAGATGAAGTTTCCCTCTTGGTTATTTTCTTCTCTCTCCTTTTTTCCTGACTGGTCAGTCAATCAATCACAAAGCAGATGAAGAAGAGGAACAATTAAGGGCAATCTCACAGAATTTTAGTATTGGTCACAAATGTGAATCTAGGTCTGCTTTTCAGCCAAAATTTTACTTTGTTTTTAAGTAATGTGTACCTTTTTTTCTGTTTTCAGGTTATAGGTGTGACATTGATGTGTCTACTGAAGCCATGTATGCTGCAACCAGACGAGAGGGGTTTAATGATGTGGTGAAAGGAAGAATTCTCGCAGGAAACTTCTTCTTATTAAAAGAGTAAGATAATTAGTTTAGGAATTTTCCCCATTCTTGAAACTCAAGAGTGAAGTAGTAGTATGTCTGTCAAGTCTTACAAGTTGAGATATTTTGCTAAAGAAGCAAAATCCTTATCATTTAAATTAGAAATCATAATTAAAGGCCTGTTTATGGTTCCTTTGGTTCCTGGTTATTCAAAAACAAAAACACATTCACGTGCTAGCTAAATGATTAGTACATACTAAGTAGGAAGCCCTGAAGGATTTTGGCCCCGTTAAATGTCCTCTGACTATTATTGCCACATTGGCCTATTGCTGTTAGAGCCTTAAGCGGGAAGTTACATTGGTGTCTCTTGAAACATTTAGTGAATTTACATAGTTTTGCCTTCCATTATATACCTGTTTGCTCCAGGAAATAATTCTAAATTACTATGACTCCCACTTAGATTGTCTTCAATGTAAGTTTCCTGGCCGTCTTATGAAGGCATTATCCTAACTGAAATAGGTCAAAGAAAGATAAATACTATATGATCTCACTTACATGTGAAATCTTTTTAAAAAACCAGAATCATAGAAACAGGGAGTAGAATGGTGGTTGCTAGGAGCTGGGGTTGGAGGATATGGGGAGATAATTGGTCAAAGGATACAGACTTCAAGTGATAAGATGAATAAGTTCTGAGATGTAATGCACAGCATGGTTAACATATACTGTATTATGTACTTGAAAGTTGCTAAGGGAGTAGATTTTAAATGTTCTCACCACACTCAAACAATCCCTTGAGCTCTCTGTGCTACATTCTCCTATCCATTACTCTGCTCTGGCAAATTCTGGCTGTCTGCCTCCCAGAACTTCAGATCGTGGTCTCTTTAATTTACTGAGAACCCCTTCCCCCTACTCCTGAATTCTGTTTAGTATCCTCCTCTTTGGACTGAGGCCTGCAGATTACCTCCAGGCATTATTGTGGGAAATCAAAGGACTTCACTTATTGCTCCCTTTCCTGAATGCCTGTTGTCTAATGTCAAATTGGTGGTTTTATTTTATCTCATTTTCCAGTTGTTTAAGATAGCAGGGTATGTCTCATCTCTATTACTACATCGCTGATGGAAGCAGAAGTTCTACTTTTTAACCATATTTAAAGTGGGAAGAAATTTCATGGAAAACAGAAATATTTGCACTTTTATAAAATTCAGGTTCTGGGAATGCTGTTAATACATTATTTAGGCCATCAACTGTTACTGTTTTGTAAATTATAGGTGATGCCTGAATTCATCTCTGTATACCCTGTAGTCAAATGATAGTAAGGACATCTGCTATTTCTATAGCATTATTTTAGGGTAAAAAAGATTTCACATTTTTGTCCCATTATATTTGGTCTGCAGTAAGATTGGAGTTGTTACATTCATTTTTACAGGTGAGGAAACTTAAGTTAGAACAGTTAGTATTTTTGCCACCCTTCATTACTAGTTTCAGGAGGATCTAAGGAGCATTTTTCCCTTTCTTTGCACCATTGACTTATATGTCTGGCTAGTTCCTTAATCTTTTCAGTAAAGTATCTTTTCTTAAATTTTACATTTCCATTCCTGGGCTGTGCCTATCCATAAAATACAAAATTGCAAACGCTGCATACTTTCTCCAGTTTCTGTTTCCAGAGCCTTTTTCCTAGTGTCCAATTCTAATGTCATGTCAGAATTTTGTAAAACTTCAGTATCCTTATAATAATTAACTATCATTATACTATAGATGAAATAAGACATGATAATGGAGGATTGGAATGAGCCTCCTAGTTCTAGTCCTGCATTACCACTGCCAAAGTTTGTAACGTTTGGGAAATTTAATTGCTATACTTGATTTTCCTCACCTGAAAATGATTGTTCTGGTTTAATGGTGTCCCTGGAAGTTTTAATATTTTGTGAATATATGTGCAGAATTGCACCTCGTAGTGAATTCTGATTAAGTTCCAGATGTACAAAATTATCAAATAACAGCACAAATGAGCAAAATTCATTTCTGTGTGGTGGTAAGAATCTCAGTGGTGCCTGCTCACAAAGGCCAAGAATCCAGTGATTCTTTAACAAGTCTTATGTGTGAGAAATACTTCAAAGTCCTAACAAAAAGCCCTTAAAATATCATCTATATTTCCACAGAAACTATGAGAATTATTTCATCAAAGCACAGAAAGTGAGGCGACTCATTGCTAATGATTTTGTGAATGTTTTTAACTCTGGAGTGCATGTCTTGCTAACTCCCACTATCTTGAGTGAGGCAGTACCATATGTAGAGTTCATCAAAGAAGACAACAGGACACGAAGCGCCCAGAATGATATTTTTACACAGGCTGTAAATATGGCAGGTGAGGCTTCCTCAAGAATGTTCTGGTTTCCTTTAAATTTTTAGGCAGGCTCCCTGGTCTTCAGCTTACGTTCTAGCTAGATCATTTCCTAAAGGCAATAGCTTGTCCTTCTGGAATGCAAAAAAAAGTACTTACTACATTCATACATTCAGAATCAATCTACTTCTTAGCATATTTTTTAACTTTTATTTTTAAAATCTTTAAACCTACAGAAAAGTTGAAAAAGTATACCCTTTGCCTGGATTCATCCTTGTTAACATTTTGCCTCCTTTGCTTTCTCCTTTCTGTCTGTCTGTCTCTCTCCACACACACACTTTTTTAGCTGAATAATTTGAGTTTTAACATTATGACACATAACCCCTAAATACTTTGGCATGAATCTTCTAAAAATAGACATTTCTTTACATAACCACAATTCCATTATCACACCTAAGAAAACTAACGTAAATATAAATATAGTCCATCTTTAAATTTTCTCATTTTAAATTTAAATAATTAAATTTTCTGAATTAATAAATTTAAATTATTAATTATGCAAAAAATGTCTTTTATAAGTTGTTTTTTCCCATTATATTACATTTCTTAATTATGTCTTTTTAAAATCTGAAACAGTCCCCTCAGTTTTCTATTTTTTTTTTAGAATCATATCAGACTGTTATTTATAATTTTTGTTTCAATCATCAGATACAATGTAGAACACTCAAGAGGAGATGAAGTCTGTCGTGTTTATCTATACTTTTGTTTACTGTGTTCATTTCTCCCTAATGTATCAAGATTCTTTGTCTTATTTCCTTTCTGTTTAAAGAAATTCTTTTAGCCATTCCTTTAGGGTAGGTCTGCTGGCCACTAATTCTCTTTGCTTTTTTTCCTGAGAATGTCTTGAATTTCCTTTCATTTTAAAGGTTATTTTGGCTGGATGTAGGATTCTATTTTACCAGTTCATTTCTTTATCACTTAAAAACATAGTGCTACTTTCTTGTGGCCTTTACCACATACATACATGCAGAATCAATGTGGCCCTTACCTTTTAAATTTTTTGTTTTAAGTGACATTGATTTTTTTGAAGAGTCTAGTCTACTTGTCCCGTAGGATATCCCATCCATAATCTGGACTTGTCTAATTGCTATCTCATAATTGGGTTGAGGTAAACATTTTTGGCAGAAATGCTAGATACTTTTCAGGTCATGAAACAGTTAATGTTAGTCCCATTTTTAGAAATCAAGTTGAACCTTTGGTTAACTGCTAGATGTTTTCCTTGTAAATAAACATTTTTCCTTTTATCAATATAAGGAATTGATGAGGTGATACTTTGAGACCATGTGAATATCCTATTCCCCAATAATCTTGAACCCAATTTTAGTACCTGTTGATGATCCTTGCCTGAACTATTACCTAGAAAATTAAAAAATGCTGACTTTTCTATTATTTCTTCTACATATATTAGTTAGCAGTCTTCTCTAAAGAATAGTTTTCCCTTTTTGTAATTTGGTTTATTTTAAGCAATTACTGTCATTATTTTTTTGATGGTCAAATTGTCCTAAATTTAGCCAATAGGAGTCCCTTCAAATTGCATGTATCCTTTAGACTCGTCCCCATTAATTTTTGGAAAACTTCCTTATTTTTTTTTTTTAATTTTATTAGTTTCAAGTATACAGTACATTGGTTAGACATTTATATAGTTTATAAAATGATCCCCTTAATTGCTCTTTCTCTCCTCTGGCTCTCCACCTAGCTATTACATTAATGCTAACTGCATTCCCTATGCTGTGCTCCGCATCCCCATGACCATCTATCAGCTACTAATTTGAAAACTTCCTTATTTTATGGCATAACAAAATATCCCAATATCTTATACTTTCTTTGCCTCAAAACTGGAATTAAAACTACCCTGAGCTCCTCTTTCTTATCTAACAGACTGGCAGAAATTCAAAAGCTTAACAATAAACTCTATTGGCAAGGCAGTAGGAAAAAAAAACACTAATTTTACTGATAGTTCAAAATGGTACATTTTTGGAGGGGAATTTGGCATTATCTAACTGTAATTCATTTATCCTTTGATGAAGCACTCGTTCATTATCTGAGAAACTGTCAAGAATACCAAAAAACATGTACACGAGGTAATTTACTAATCATGATGTAAAATAGCTAAATACTGAAAACGGGCTAAATACCCAGCCATAGAAGAATGGTTGAATAAACTATGGTAAATTCACATAATGAAATAGTGTGCACCTATAAAAAAGGAATGAAGAAGTTCTCTGTGAACTGATATACAGCGATTTTCAAGATATATTGTTAAGCAAACAAAAGAAGGTACAAAAGCATGTTTATCATATAATTTTGTTATTTTTTCAGACTTTACCCTGTCATGGACCTACTAGCACTGGAAAGTGGGAAAGGTCTCTGCTTCCTAGGATGGAGAATTAATCAACTAATGGGTTTCTTCTTTTCACTCAGGATTGCCAGCAGTGAGTGTCCCTATGGCCCTCTCAGACCAAGGGTTGCCAATAGGACTGCAGTTTATTGGACGCGCATTTTGTGACCAGCAGCTTCTTACAGTTGCAAAATGGTTTGAAAAACAAGTGCAATTTCCCGTTACTCAACTTCAAGAACTAATAGATGATCATCAATCTTTCAAAATGAAAAGTTAGCTTCTGTTTCTCTAAAATAGTAATAAATATGTAAAATAAAATGACTTTTAAAGATTTTTATAATCTAGAAATGTCAAATGATCTTGCTGAGTTTTTGTAACTTGGTTCATTGTCAACATAATCATTCCTTGAAATCACTTTTTAAAATTCATTGTGATATAGTTAATTATAAATAATGTCAGCATTTATTAAGCATTTGCTAGTCGCAAAGTACAAGATTTCTTCAATGACACATGACACATGTTCCTGAAAAATGATGCATTTTGCAAAAATGTTCATAGAAAAGAACAGAGCTTATTCATTTCTTTGGGTATATTATTGTCAAATAACTACTATACCATACACGTGAAACTAATATAATATTGTATATTAACTATATTTTAATTTTTAAAAAGAAAATCTTACAGTAAAAATAAGTTCAGGGATAAACTTCTCAAAACTTAATCCATCTTTGTAACAAAGGCACTAACAAAAATAATAATTGGTACCTCCAGAGATAACCTGGACAGCCAGGCAGACATTTAGTGGAGGCTGCCTTGGGATGTTACAAATGCAGGAAAAAAAAAACCAATGGGAATATTTGCCTCTGAGAGCTGAACAAAGCAGATGTAAGAAGAGCTCTGATCACAGGAGGAAGTGCAACCTGCTGGGGTCCAGAGTCATGCAAGACTGGGGGTATGCTTCTCCAGGGAGGAGCCCCAGGTGCAGATGCCCCTTTTCTTTCTCTAAAAATAGACCTGCACTGACAAGAACTTTCTAACTTTCATGCTGAAGGTTAAAATTTTACATCTGCTGTTCCAGAGCCCCATGCCAAGGAACCAAAACAACTCCATGTTACACTGAGTTCATTCTCCCGTTAACCAGTCCCAAATGAGCGCATTGGAGTCATAGAAACATTGGCCGTAACCTAACAGACCATATTGGACTTGAAACTTCGCAGGTTCTTCATAGAACTGGTTTTAGTGAGAAAGTTTCAAGATACAGTAGTCCCTGCCTTATCTGAGGGGAATACGTTCCAAGACCCCCAGTGGATGCCTGAAATTGCAGATAGTACCGAACCCTATATGTACTATGTTTTTTCCTATACATACATACCTATGATAAAGTTTAATTTATAAATTAAGCACAGTAAAAGATTAATAACTGTAATAAGATAGAGCAATTATACTGTAATAAAAGTTATAGGAAAGCGGCATTATTAAGTAAAATAAAGGTTACTTGAACATAAGCACTGTGATATGACAGTCAGCCTGATAACCAAGAGGGCTACTAACTAATGGGCAAGTGGTGTGTGTACAGTGTGGATATTCTGGACAAAGGGATGACTCATGTCTTGGGCTAGTCGGCTCGAGATTTCATCACACTACTCAGAACTGCATGCAATTTAAAACTTATAAATTGTTTATTTTTAGAATTTTCCATTTAATATTTTCAGGTAACTGAATTCACAGGTAATGGAAGTGATGGAAAGTGAAACCACAGATAAGGGGGGACAACTGTACACAAGTAACATCCAATATGAAAAACTTGTAGGTAATTTGGTGAGGATGCCAAAGAGAGGAGGCATCCTTACCCCAGATTCACTATTCCTTACGGTTTTCTTACCCTCTTGACTTGCTTTACAAGTGCTCTCTATTTGGGCACCTTGAGCCCAAAGAAACATTAATGGGAATCTGTATTCAAAATTTGAAAAAAAAAATCTAATGAAAATTATACATTTACCCACTGTAAAGTTTCATCATTGGACTTTTTTGTCTTTGCCAGAACACTGTTGTCATCGCATGTTGATTGGGCATTCTAATTTGGTACTGTTTATATATTGTTGATAAGTATAAGTAGGGAGCTGAATTATTTAATAAATTCACTTTGTTTAGTAAGAAAAAATCTTTTCTAAATATGAAGTACATGAAGGAAACATATAAAAGGTAAAACCACTGGAATGGTAGGAATTTAACCTGCTGTTACTTTTCATTAATGTTTTTTTGTCCTCACTGGGATCTTCCCATTCCCAAATACTCCATCAGTACACTTCACATAAAAGCTTTTGTGCAGGCCCTTCTAAATTTTGACTGAATCCCTGAAAGAGGAAGAAATTCATGAGAGAGAATTGTATTACTTTATAACAAGAGAAAATCACCTAAGCTGAAGGAGTTAGTATAATGTAAAAAGCAGATAAATCTTTGCCCAATCTTTTTTTATGTGTGTATACTTTGAAATAAAAATTTTTCAAAGAATATTTATGTAATTTCTCTTATTCCTGTATCTCATTCCTAATTTCTACTTAAGATGTACTAATGATATGAATCTGGAAATAGGGATGTGAAACATTAACCATTCTCATGTAATACGCAACTAGCACGGAACGATACCTAATTTGTTTTCTTTTCTCCTCCATCTTTACCCTAAATCTAGTAGATCTCATTTTGCCAAATCTCTATCTGGGAATTTAAGTGGGTAATGGTTTCTGTGTCTCAGCTCATTAAACCCGGAAATTTTCAGTGGCAGAGCAACTCTGAAAGGCAAATATTGCCTCAAATGTAAGATGAGCCCTTGATGAGATGCAGCAAAAACAAAGCGAAAGTTAGATTCAACAGCAAAGCATTGCTAGAGCGAAAAAACGTGATGAGATCACAAAACTTGGCAACCTGACACCACATAGAGCCAAGGCAGCAAGTGGGGAAACCAGTGTTTCGTGTTGGCCTGCACTTAGCCTTACCAAGAAAATCACTTGAAACCAGGGAGGCAGAATGTTCCCTTTGAGTGGCTGGTTGACACCAGCTTGTCAGGAACACAGAGGACCTTGGGCCATCTAGAAAAGACAGCATGGTGCAGAAGAGGAGCTTCTAAAAATAAATGGTAACTCCTATTAGGAAATCACCTGTACCTTCTAACAGACAAGAAATACCTTTAGGATTTTAGAATAATCTTACAGATGGTGAAAAGATACCTGGTTACAGGATGCAAATAAGTAGACTGTTGAAGATTCTGCAAACTGTCACTCCCTGTTTCACTCAAAGCAGAGGAGCAAACCAATGGAATTTTCACAATAGTTTTTATTATGAATTTTCACTCTACTTTTGATCTCTCCTCAAACATCTGATTATCTATACCAAGGCTAAATGTGTGTTGGCTGTGCAAGCCCAGGGTAAAATTTATTCATTATGTTTCGGAGTACCAGAGGACTGTTTAAAATATAAGGCTTTCCTCAGTGATTTTATACCTTAAGCAGTGTGTACAGTAGAACATAAACCGAAAAATTTAATAAAGGCAAATAACATCAGGAAAACCTAGCTAACATTATATAAAAGTAATTATTATAGGATTTCAGAAGGGCTTTTTTATTTCTTTATACCTCAATGGAGTTTATAAATCCAAAAGGATTTTATGCAGTTTATTAAAAACATTATTACAGTGGTATAAAAGTAAACAATTCAGGAAAATCAGTGAAATGATACAAGAAGGGAGAAAGGATAAAACCAGGAATAAGATTAAAAATAAAAATGCTTGTCAAGGTATTTATACAGATACTGAAGGCTCTATAGTGTGATATAATGGAAAATTTCCCAGTAGCTTTCTTAGTTGGTAAGGCCATCAGATTTAAAAATCTGATAAACCTGGTTTTGAATCCTATTACTGCTGTTTCTGAGATGTGTAACCTATCTAAGCTTCAGCATCCTTACCTGTAAAACAAAGATAATATTTACTCCAAGGGATGGATTGAAGAATTAAATTTAAATGATGCACTAATAACATTTACATGATGCCTGACAGAATAAGCATTCAATAATTTACAGCTGTAAATAAATGCATCTAATCATGAATTTAAGTCATTTTCTTATAGATACATGGTAAAATAATGGCATATGACCAAATAGCAATTTACTGAAAACTAGAGAGTAGTTATATAGCTAGCTACCTGATAACCTGGCTTCCTTTGAAGATAAAATGTAACATATCTGGAAGAACTGATGGATTGGATCTTTTTAAAGTAACTTCCATGAACTTTTGATAAAAAAAGGAAAAAAAAAACTGGCTAACACAGGGTTCAAAGACCTACAGGTCTTCAAAAGGCCCCTGTTCTCTGTCAACTAAATGAGGAGTAGGGCCAACATGGTCTTTTAAGAATGAAGCCTCCCAAAATATGTCTATCTCATACTTCTGGGAGGAAACACTTGTGACAGAGACCAGTTCTTTCCCATGCAAAGTAGTTTCACTTTAACAGAGAGATACATAGAGAATTGAGGCCCTGAGATACTACATCTTAGCTGCAATAATTTTATCATAAGAAAAATTTATGTTACCAATGGCCAGCTAGCCACTGGACATTTATACTGTTTTCGTTTTTGGAATGAATAATACTGCTATGGACACTCATGTACAAGTATTTGTCTAAAAGTGTTTTCATTTTGCTTGAATATATACCTAAGTGTGGAATAGATGGGTCACGTGGCAATTCTGTGTTTAACTTTTTGAGGAACTGCCACTGTTTTCTCAAGTGGTTGCACCATTACATTCCTACCAGCAATACATGAGGGTTCCAACTTTTCTACATCCTTCTCTACACTTGTTATTGTCTATCTTTTTTATTATAACCATCTTAATGAGTGCAAAGTGGTATTGATTCTCATTTCTCTAATGACTAATGATTTTGAGTACCTTTACATGTACTCATTGGACAATTATATACATGCATATGTATATGAATGGGTATGTGTACATGTGTGTGTGTATATATATATCTTAGAGAAATGTCTATCAAATCCTTTGCTCATGTTTAAGTTGGGTTGTCTTTTTATTTTTGACTTTAAGAGATTTTTTAAAAATATATTTTAAATATAAGTCACTTATCAGATATATGATTTGCAAATATTTTCTCCCATTCTGTGACTTGTCTTTTCACTTTCTTAATGGTTTTTTAGAAGCACTAAAATTCTTTATTTTGACAAAGTCTAATTTATCTATTTTTGCTTGTGTGGCTTTTCCCTTTGGTGTCATGTGTCAAATGTACCTGTAATATATTTTAGTGAATGATATGAAGAGATCT